CTACCTCATTAAAGACCAAGTTTGGGGACCGGCAGCCCCCTGACCACACTCTGAGTAGCACTGTCTAGAGTTCCTCATTTCTAAATCAAGCTATTAGTTCTTTCAATTGTCCAACCCAGGAGATTGTGGTTCTTAGATCCTTGGCCATTCTGATTACTCTTCTCTAGAAACGTACCCCTTAAAACGTGGGGTGCTGAAAAAGAACCCATTGTTCCTGATATATGTGACCAGTGCAGAATGCAGTGGGCACTGACCTTTTGAGTCTTGGGATCTGTGCTCTGGTCATGCATCCTAGGGTTGGTGTCTTTGTTCAGTAGCCATATTACATGGTTAAGTCACATTAAGCTTACATCTGCCAGAGCTCTCAAGTCTATTAATAACAGGAAGGGCTGTTGAACTATGTTCTTTTTATCCTGCACATCCTGTAGTTGATTTTTGAAGTTAGAGTCATTTTATTTGACTTTTATGAAATTATATCTTATTAACAGGTCATCCTTCACTTGTTAAGCTCTATACACTTCTCAATATTGCTATTCTCTAACAATAATAACTAATTTCATCTATCACTTTAGGGTTTATGTGGTGTTTTCACATATAGTCCCATTTGGTTCTGTTGACAAATCATGCTAGACGTGCATTATTATTGTTTTCATTTTATAACAGAAAACTGAGTCTCAAAGAACCCTTAGCAAATAGCCTTATACCATCTTTACAGTTTAACAACATGAGTTCCGGCCCATTCAAGTTACTCTTAAAATGGTCATAACCTTGAGACATGCTTCCTTCAGTTATTTACAGTCTTTTAGTCACACGCTGTGGAGGAGTTACTCAACCAGTTACTAACAAAACTCTCTGTAGCAAGCTCGTCCAACCCATGGCTCGTGGGCTATTTGCGGCCCAGGACGGCTTTGGACGTGCCCCAACACAAATTCATAAACTTTCTTAAAACATTATGAGGTTTTTTTTGCCATTTTTTTAAGCTCATCAGCTATCATTAGTGTTAGTGTGTTTTATGTGTGGCCCAAGACAATTCTTCTTCCAATATGGCCCAAGGAAGCCAAAAGATTGGACACCCCTGTGTAGCATCTAGCTAGTGAGCCGCATTGTCCACAACATGAGAACCTTTTTGTAGTTGTCTTGCTGAAATTCCGATGTTCCGTGTCCCTGGTACGTCCATGGTTTCTGAGACAGGAGAATTAAGTTAGTTTGATGTATCCTTTTCTTTACAAACACATCTGACTCCTAGAGATTTCCATTTTGTGTTTCTAAATAATCACAAGCTATTCATTGTTAACCTCAAAAAAATTATCGAACAGATGAAATCTGATAATCTCTTTTAAACAATCAGTACACTTCCATAAATACCACTGGAGAGTCTGAAATGTGCCTGATGCTCTGCTGGGTCCTGAGTGTGTAAAAAAACCGTAAACTCTACTGCAGTGTGTGTTTTTCATACTGCAGATCATGGCCCCTTGGGAGGTTGTCAAGTGAATTTGGTGGATCACAAACAACATTTAAAAAAATAAAACAGACTAAACTAGACTAAAAAGTATCAGAATACAAACAAACAAGGATAATTACTTAAGTATAACTTTTTTTGTGCTTTAATATAGTCTATATGCGTGCCCTGAGTTGTGATGGAAAATATATTTTTTGTTGTGTGTCACTATCAAATAGTTTGAAATATCCATCATTAGTGGAAGACACAGACACAGCCATTTCAATACCCTTGGGGACATACCATGGTCCTTGTAGGCACAGGGTGCTGAAGAAGAATGGTCGTTTTTTTTCTTGGTTGCATTTTGTTTTCTATTGCTTTTGTTTTTGTTTGTTTGCTTTGGTTCAAACAACCTGAATACTGCAAAATTTCCCTGAGCTGTTTTGCCTTTTTCCCAGGAGTCTGCCACTTTTTCACATGCCTTAGTTGGGCTGTAAATATTTTCCTTTTGGCCAAAGTGAGTATAATAAGCTCTTAGAGACCAGCAAACAGGGCCAGGCTTACCCTTCCCAGGCCACAGTGCCCAGCTTGGCATGTGTTCTTAACCTAAATAAAGGAGTCCCTATCCAACTAGTATGTGGTGTGCTGGCATCATAACCAGATTTGAGAGAGGTAGTTCGGGCCAACACTAAATGTTGTAGTTACTGTTTTAAAATATCTATATTTTCTTTAAAGTCATATCCTTTTTTTTTTTTTTTTTTTGTCTTCTAAAAAACTGTCTGCTAAAAGGGCTTTTTCACAGTCCTTATTTAATATCAACTTCTCACTAGCTTCCTAAAATGCAGTACAAAAATCCAGTAAGTTCAACATTCAGCCTATCATGGTACCTTGTGTATAAATGACCCTCATATGTCAGTTTTTATTATATCAATCACAGGAATAGAGGGAGTAGAAAGTACTAGTAGGAAAATATATTTTGAGTCATCATTCTGGAGTCTTGCCCTTTTTCCACTTGTACAATTACAACTTTCTCAACTCTTTCATCAGAGCTTTATACAAGTTTTTAAAACTCAAAGCTAATTTTTCACTGTGATCCTCAATGCTGTAGAATTCTTTTCTGTTTCTTTTTGTTTCCTTTTCTTAAGAGACAGAGTCTTGATATGTTGCCCAGGCTGGACTCAAACTCCTGGACTCAAAAGACCCTTCCACCTCAGACTCCCAACTAGCTGAGATTACAGGCGTGAGCCACTGTATTAGTCCATTTTTCACACTGCTGATGAAGACATACCTGAGACTGGGCAATTTATAAGTAAAAAGAGGTTTAATGGACTCACAGGTTCATACAGGCAGGCCTCACAATCATGGTGGAAGGCGAAAGGTACATCTTACATGGCAGCAGACAAGAGAGAATGAGAGCTGAGCAAAAGGGGTTTCCCCTTATAAAACCATCAGATCTCATGAAACTTATTCACTACCACAAGAGCAGTATGGGGGAAACCACCCCCACGATTCAATTATCTCCCACCAAGTCCCTCCCACAACACATCAACACATGGGAATTATGGGAGCTACAACTCAAGATTAGATTTTGGTAGGAACACGACCAAACCATATCAGCCACCGCACCTGACTTCTAAGCCATAGAATTCTTTTCTGTACCTTGGCTTTGTACTTGCTTTCACTTTAAACTTGAATATTCAAGTTTGCCATTTAGTCAAACCTACACAGAAACTAGATTTTGAAGGAATAAACAAAAACAGGAAGATCCCCACAATGATTAACTGTGCATCTGCTTAGGTTTTCTTAAAAACAACACACTGCAAGGTTAAAGGGAGTTAAGGTGGACGCCAGATACATAAAAAGATTGACAAGCAATTGAACTAACACTGAAAGATACAAATAAGCAAATACCTCTCAGTGAGGGACTGCTGAATGCACTACCTTCTTTAATCCCTTCAGCAATCTTCAGCAAACCTATGAGGCAAGACCCACTTCAATCTCATAAGTAGCAGAAACTTACTTTAGAGAGGGTAAGTAGCTTGTGGACAGTCACCTAGCTCTGACACTTGGAACCAGGTCTTAAAACTGAACACCCAAGTAGAATAAAATAAATTTAATTCAGTTCCCAAAAAAATAAGCAATTATTATGTCCTTGGCATTGGAGGGGCTATACATATGAATAAATATGTTTATATGAATAATGAAACAGAGAAACACAAGTCCTGCTCTTTTTTTTTTTTTTTTTTTTTTTTTTTTTTTTTTTTTTGAGATAGGGTCTCACTTTGTTGCTGACGCTGTGGTGCAGTGGTGCCATCATGGCTCGCTGCAGCGGGCCTGGCTCGTGATGAGTTTACCTGTAACAACTGAGAGTGGAGGCTCTCAAGCAGAAGGCTTCTAAGCTTAAAAAAAAAAAAAAAATATGATTCAATTTGGACTACACTGTGGAAAGCTATTTAGATGGGAAAGATGCTGGAGACCGGGCTTCTCCCACATTTTTACTGTAACAGATCCAGAGAGAGGTGGCAAAGGCCTACGCTAAGAGAATGAGAGTGAAATTACGCATGAGGGAACAAATTTGAAAATCAGTTCAGAATTAGGTCTTGGTGATGTGCTTGGTGAGGATGAAGCAGGATTCGATGATTCAGTTTATTTCAAAAGGAAGTGGTAAGCCTGAGTTCAAGGTCTGTGCTGGGCCCAAGGCTATGCAGAGCTACACTAGGCCATCTCTGGCCTCAGGGAATGCAGATGCTCCTCTCTCAGGGACTACAAATTCAGGCTGAAACCAGACACCTAGAGTCAATGTGTGAGGCACAGAGCGTAAGACAGTGCCAAGCCGCGGGGACCCATTGCAGCCACACCACAGAGGTGTGCGTCCTGCCCACGGCATTCTGACTCGGAGTTGCTTCAACAGAAAAAGACTGCTCACACAGAGTAGCCGGATTGGATCACAAATAGTGATCTCCAGAATGGCTCCCTCATCCCTACTTAAAGAAATTCAGTGGGTCATTTTGCTGTTACCTTATCCAGGGAATACACGATAAGAATCAAGTGCAGAGGACTAAAATAAGGAGTGTTAGCTTTGAGATATACTGACGTTGAGATTCAGAAGAGGCAAGCTGGAAATATGGTCCCTGGGGCTCAGTGAAGAGGTTTCTGGAAAGAAGTAAGTGCCTTTTATGGCAGAGTTGAGTTCCTTTGTGAAAAAGACTGCAGGTGCTTTATATTTAGACTGTCTAGTCTGATGTAATTATACCCTCTTTATAATCAGTCAGGGAAAACTTCTTAGAGAGGAAGGAAGGAAGCATTCAAAACCTCTTTGAAAATGGGAAGGAAGAAAGCTTGGCAAGTTGAGAAGAATCCTCTGGCCACTGGGAGGAAGGGTATGTACAAGACAGTGCAAGTGGTGGAAGGACAGCTTAGAGGTGCCCAAGAAGCTCACACCTGTGCTGGGAGTACAGAGGGAAGGGAGGTGGAGGACCGCCCAGGGCTGCCCTCAGCGCACCCAGAGTTCCTGCCTCAGCCACACTGTCTGCTAACGAGCATTTTCCTTGGTGTTCTGCAGGGTGACGACTCCGATGAGGAAGATCTTTGTATCAGCAACAAATGGACTTTCCAAAGAACCAGTCGCAGGTGGTCTCGTGTGGACGACCTCTACACGCTGCTCCCTCGAGGAGACAGAAGTGGGTCACCGGGAGGCACGGGGATGAGGAACACGACCAGCAGTGAGAGCGTCCTCACAGACCTGAGCGAGCCTGAAGTCTGCTCTATCCACAGCGAAAGCAGCGGAGGCAGCGACAGCCGCAGCCAGCCGGGCCAGTGCTGTGCAGACAGCCCGGTCATGCTGGATGCCCCACTGGTCGTCAGCAGCCTCCCGCAGCCCCCCAGAGACGTCCTCAACCACCCCTTCCACCCCAAGAATGAGAAGCCCACAAGGGCTAGGGCCAAATCATTTTTGAAACGCATGGAAACACTCCGAGGGAAGGGAGCCCACGGGAGGCACAAGGGGTCAGGGCGGACAGGTGGCCTGGTGATCAGCGGGCCCATGTTGCAGCAGGAGCCAGAGTCCTTTAAGGCCATGCAGTGCATCCAAATACCAAATGGAGATCTCCAGAATTCACCGCCACCTGCCTGCAGAAAAGGGCTCCCATGCTCCGGCAAGTCGAGTGGCGAGAGCAGCCCATCAGAGCACAGCAGCAGCGGCGTCAGCACACCCTGCCTGAAGGAACGCAAGTGCCACGAGGCCAACAAGCGTGGGGGCATGTACTTGGAGGACCTGGATGTGCTGGCAGGGACAGCACTGCAGGATGCAGGGGACCAAAGCCGTATGCATGAGTTTCACTCCCAAGAGAATTTGGTGGTGCATATTCCCAAGGATCACAAACCAGGAACATTCCCCAAGGCACTTTCTATTGAAAGCCTGTCTCCCACAGATAGTAGCAATGGGGTTAACTGGAGGACCGGTAGCATCTCCCTGGGCAGAGAGCAGGTCCCTGGTGCCAGGGAGCCCCGGCTCATGGCGTCCTGCCACAGAGCCAGCCGAGTCAGTATCTATGACAATGTCCCTGGCTCTCATCTGTATGCCAGCACAGGAGATCTTTTGGACTTGGAGAAAGATGACCTTTTCCCTCACTTGGATGACATTCTGCAGCATGTCAATGGGCTCCAGGAGGTAGTGGATGACTGGTCCAAAGATGTCTTACCTGAACTGCAAACTCACAATACGTTGGTTGGGGAGCCTGGCTTATCCCCCTTTCCGTCTCCTAATCAGATCACCTTAGATTTTGAAGGTAACTCTGTCTCAGAAGGTCGGACGACACCCAGTGATGTGGAAAGAGATGTAACATCTCTTAATGAATCTGAGCCTCCTGGGGTCAGAGACAGGAGGGATTCTGGTGTAGGGGCCTCTCTGACCAGGCCAAACAGGTAGGTGGCATGCATTTGTGAAATGATTTTTTGTCCATTTTATAGTAATTGTGTTCTGTTTATTTCTTTAACAAACATATACAGAGTACTTACTAAATGCCTGACTATGTTCTAAGTGATGTATGTGATTAGGAATTCTTTGAACAGAAGTATGACTTCTGCACAGGTATCATGGTGATTGAATCCATGTTAACTCATATTTATTTGTGTTTATCTTTTATTTTGATCTTAGTTTTATCCAAAAATATTTTGAGCTTCTTATATGCAAAGCATTATACCGGGCACCACATGCAGGGAATCCTGGATAACCAAGACCCAGTTCCTAGGCACCGACTCTTCCCCTGACCTTCCTGTGATGCATTCATCAAGATGTATCTTCCCCAAATTTTGCACTTTTTTTCCTCCTATAAGAAATCTCTGAGGTCTAAGATGTGTACTCTGTAAGTCTGTTTTTGCTTGAAAGTGCCAATTACAAAGTACATAAAAGCTGACTTACAAAGACCGTTTCAGAAGCACCCTAGAAAAATGGCCCTGGGAGGTCCAAACTGGTAGAAACAATAGCACTGTGTGTGCTGCTGGGTTTCTGGTTGAGACAGGGGTGTATCTTGGGGCTCAGCGATGTGTCACCATCTTTACCTCTCATCTTCAGGCTCCATCTCAATACTGAGCAAGAGTTAGAGTGTAGACACATGGAAGACAATAAGAACATTTTCTGCAGCCCTAGACATTCGACAGCTCTCTCTGTCTCTTTCTCTCGCTCTGTCTCTCTCTCTCTCTCTCTCTCTCTGTCTCTCTGTTTCTTGCTCCCTGTCTATATCTCTCTCTCTTTTTGTCTATATTGCTCTACCTGTCTGTCCTCTCTGTCTATATTGCACCGTCTGTCTTCCCTCTCTCTGTCTCTCTGTCTCTTGCTCTCTCTCTGTCTATATCTTTCTATCTCTGTCTGTCTCTCCATCCTCTGCCTCTGTCTCTCTCTATTTTTCTGTCTCATCTCTCCATCTCTCCATCTATGTCTGTCTCTGTCTTTTCTATCTCTCTGTCTGCTCTCTCTGCTTCTGTCTGTATCTCCCTGTCTCCATCTCTTTCCTCTCTTTCTGTTTCTCTTTCTCTTTAACACACACACACACACACACACACACACACACACACACTCACACACACACTGTCTCAGCTGCTCTCAACATGAACAAATTTGGAATAAAAAACCTAGTATTTCCTCTATCACTTGTTTAAACCCCCTAATAAAACAGATAAGACTTTTTCCAGACTTATCCAAATTGGACAAATCATGTCCTGTGTTTATTCTGCACACTTGTGTCTTCTGTTCCATTTGCATTGCAATTCTCTTCGCTCGGACGCTATCTTGATTAGCTTCATGTACATTGGTGATGTCCCGTGTTTCCCACTACGAAGTCCACTTTGTGACTGGCTTCTGTGATGGTCTCTCTGGTAAAGGCGACTCCGATGGAACAGTTTCCAGCTGTCTCACCAGCCCCGGCCAGCCCCAGCATCGCCCCACATCAGCAGCCAGACGGCCAGCCAGCTGAGCCTGCTCCAGCGCTTCTCGCTGCTTCGCCTCACGGCCATCATGGAGAAGCACTCCATGTCCAACAAGCACGGCTGGACATGGTGCGTAGCACGTTCACCTAGGAGGGGATCCTTGGCTCTGGAGCTAAGTGGGTGATTGCAAAAGCTTCCACGTTTACTTTCTGAATTCTGAAGAACCCATTCATTGCCTTCACTGATGATCTCCTGGACGTAAGGCATGAGCTTTGCCGTAGCCTCCATGTGACAGAGCCCACAGGAAACGTTGCTCTATTTGTAGCTCTCAGTTGGTTTCCAGGGAAGGCAGTCAGGCTCCAAGAAAGGAAAAAAAAGACAAGTAAAGGGTGATTAACTGTGAACAGAGGAAATAAAAATAAACTTGCCATAAAATAATCCTGGCAGTTTGCACAGAAACAGCTGTCACTTGTACCTTCTGGCCTGATGCAAAGCTTACCACTTAGAGCCTTGATTCATTCAAAGAGCATTTAATTCTTCAGATACATTTCTGCTTTTATTTCACTGGCAAATAAAAACAAGAATATGCAGTAAACCTTGTAATAAGGAATTGACAGAAGCATATGTTAGAACTTGAATGTGGGCCTATTATAGATGATTTGGTGGATTTGAAAAAATACAAAATGTATCAGTAATTGTTCTATGTTTTATAATATGCATATTAAAAAAATCAGTGGTGTGTTTATAAAATATTTTAGAAGGTTATAAATTCATGGCCAAATCAATATATGCTTGTGTATTAAAATGTCCTTTAAAAACTGCAGCTGGCTCTAGAAAAGTAAGGATAGAGCCAAGAAATATTGTTCTTCTTTTCTCCCTTCCTTTTCCTCCAGCCCCAGCCATATTTCTTCTTCCTCTTGTAATTTTTAAATTTGTTTTGTTTTGTTGGGGACTTTTAAGTGTTCAGCACTTGAGAGATGAGTCTATCACAATTAAATTGGAAAGTTGTCCACTTGACCTGAAAACAGAGCTACAGATACATTCTGGTAACGTGACTCATGCTGAGATAGCATGCAGGCAAGGGCCACACAGAGCACGGCTGTGTCCTGTGATTAATGCAGAGAGAATGCTGAATTCGCCCGGCGTCTGTTGGGTATTCCAACAAAAGCTTGGCCTCCCTCATGCTTGCTTCCAGAGCCTCTCCCCACAGTGTGCCCCAGGAGGCTTGCATGACCTGGTTTCTGTAAATTCTAGGTCAGTTCCAAAGTTCATGAAGAGGATGAAAGTTCCCGACTACAAAGACAAGGCTGTCTTTGGCGTTCCTCTCATAGTCCACGTCCAAAGAACGGGACAGCCCCTGCCTCAGAGTATTCAGCAAGCACTGAGATATCTACGCAACAACTGCCTCGATCAGGTAGGGCTGTAACCACCCCGCTCCTGCCCCACCACCCCCAACCATGGGATTAGATTGATGGGATGTCAGACTGAGTCAGATCTGCCCAGTATCAGGCAAGACATGCCTCACCAAAAATAAAAGGCATTGTGACCTTTATGTGGTAATATTGAATTTGAACAAGCCACATCCTATTTGAGGATGTTTCCTCATTGGCAACTTAAATGATGACCTGGAGTGACTGCGGAAAGTTGATGTTAATAGTTTGTTCCTGTGATATCTACTTTGCAATCCTTAAAAACTGGAGTTAAGCTATGGACTGCATTTCCTTTGTAACTATTATTTCAGTGCCACCATTGATGTCACAGTGTTCTTTTATCCCTGTTATATTATTTTTGAAAAAGAATTAGGTTTTTCATGCCTCCTTGTATTAATTCTTTTTTTTTTTTCCTTTGAAGCAGCATCATGACCAGGAAAACTTAAAGACAGATTTATTTACATCTTTTAAAAATGTGCAAGTAAAATATGAACAAAAGTATCAACTAAGTCAAATATCCCCTCATTTTATAGAGTTGATTCAAAGCTCAAGCTAAACAAAATATTCAAAGATCATTTTCTGCCTCCAGGACTTCTGGGGCCCACCATAATGGTGGACTGTGATTAAATCCAGAGTGCAGTCCGTCCTGTAGTTTACAAAACAAAGCCTTTGCTCCTCCAAATTAACACCCATTAGCTTCTTAGACATTCTGTCCAAAATAAAAGTTGTGTTCTTAATTGGTAAATTGCAACCCTGAATAGTGGGTATATTTCCAGGCAGCTATTCTGTAATAGTCTCTGTTCATCATACTTTTTGATGCCATGCAGAGAATCTGTACCAACCTAAGATGATTGTGCTTTTTACTGATTTACCCTGGACCTTGGGCTCAGTGGGCAGGAATGAGCTCAGCTACATGAACTTAAAGATCCTGGCTAGTGATGCTTGTAGAGACTCCAATACTGAGACCACACTTAGAATCAGGCTGGTCTCGTGGTGAACCAGAAATCAATTTTCACTACAGAAAAATAGAATTAACTTCTTCATTTGAAGTTGTCTTTGACTGAACTGAATGTGTGATGCTCTTTGTCCTTCCTCACTTTTCATTTAGAAAATCTGCACATAATATTTTTCCATATTTGGATGTCATCGTGGAGGGTGGGATGGCTGTTGTCGTTGTTGCGATGATGGCTGTTTAGTTTTGAGAAATGGCCTCAATAGCTTGCCTCTTATTCCCCAGCAATAAGGTTGACAGGCTCCTTTGCTAGGGTCCTCTTCTTTGGCAGATGCCCCAACATGAATTGACTTGTGAATCACGTCCCAGTAGAGTCAGCCAATTAATCTGGTCACTTAGGCATACATTTTAATTTATTTTTAATCTTAGAGGTTTTACTAAGAATACACATTATTCACAGTTAATGTCCTAAAGGTGTTTTACTGAGATAAGTTTTTAGAGAGGTGGGCTCTGGTGAATATTTGGGAAAGCCCACTCTGGTCTCTATTCCAATGCTAAAAGCATTGCAACCTTGTCATTTGGCATAGAACTTTGTGGCCTCAATTGTACATTTGTTGTTGGTTTGTGGGTATAGACCCAAGATGGTATTTTGTTAAGACACACGTTTTTCCAAGCATCTCACTTTCTCTAAGGGTATGTATCGAACTCACCTCCCTGTTGGTGCTCTTAGAGACTGTGGCTTTGCCCTTCTCCAAGCACAGAGAATATTTTGCTCCAAGAGCATGGCCAGCTAATGCTTATCAACAAAAGCTCCGTTAAGAGAAAACAGTGTTCAGGAATGCCCAAAGGAAGTGCAACCTATCTGTGTCACTAGTTCAATAAAAATAACCTGTCTTGAGTGCCTGGCATGTTTTAAGCAATTTTATTACGTGTTCTGCATTAATTGCCTCATTTAGTCCCACATCCACCCTTGAATGGTGTTATTCCGGGTTCATTATGGTGGAACCAACACTTGCTTGCAAGTCTGACTCCAGAGTCCAAGTTCCTAACCACTGCACTCTGCGGTTGCTTATCATTAATGGCTTTTCCCCCGTGGACTTCGCGGTGATGCCATCTCTAGCATTGAGGAGTGACCCTGTACAACTCATGGATGAATGAATTCACTGTCAAGATTTTGTAGTCGATGTTGGTCGTTAAGTCACGTAATGTGCTTTCTGTGAGAAGGGGAGAAAAAACTTTTCCTCTGGCTGCGGCATCTGAAAGCATTGTGTTTCTTTTGGACAACTGGCCTGTTTTTTAATACTGTGGACACCAAACTCATTCATTTGGGTGTGTTTTCCTCACTGTATTGGCTGCTAGAAAGCCTGGAGCCAAATATGTGTTCTGTCTGTAGTAAAATCTATGTAATTTTTGGCATTAATTTTATGCAGCAATCTTATTCCTAGTTTCATCCACCCTTTTCTGTCTTTATTTCCTTTTGCTGTAATTTTCTTATGTTTTATCTTTAATTTAATTGTATCTTATTATATTTTATAGATTACTGTAAGCCCCCTTAAATTTTTTCTTGAACAAGAGTGGCTATAAATAAATGAAATGTAATTCCACTATTCCATTCAGCGCTGAGTCTTTAGTGTAGGCAATAAACCATTCCTGCCCCCTGTAGCTTCTGAATAACGTGTAGTGCCAGTATCACTGCTGTTAGTGGGGCCAGTCTCTCTTTGGAAGCAAAAGTCTTATCAGTAGAGAGAAAGACAGGGCACCAAAACCTCTTCCACCCCTGTGTCCATCTCAGGTCCATGTTTTAAATCTGGGAGAATGCCAAGATGAAAACCAGGGTGCCGGCAAAGCCTTGGAGGAAGAAGACTCGTTTCAAGACATGGATAGTGAGTCAAAATGTAATGAAAATGAATAGAGCCACGTATCTCTTGCGTCAGTCACATGGGAGAATCCGTAGGACATCGAAGGGACTTTCACCACAGCCAGTCACCACCTGATAACGCGCCCAGTCCTGGCAGGTCTTCCAGCCGTGGAACGTCCCTCCCTTTCCTTGTCATGTGGTGTGGGAAGCACGCAGAGACCATCCCTCTGGCTCCAGTGAAAAAGGAAGGTGGTAATAGGGAGGAAAAGGGAGAAATAGAGAAACTAAGGAATCAAAACCTGGCTGTTCCGGAGATTTCAGAGCAAGCAAGAGCTAATAAAAGCGAATCAATCAGAAAAGCGAGGGGAAAGAGTGAAAAGGAAGGAGAGCGACACCAAACAAAATGTTCTTGCTTTGCCAACAGCACCTCCGCGGAATTGAAAAGATTCCAGTCTGCCCAAGGCCTTGAGAACCCAAGCCTCAAAGCTGCAGAAGATGGGAACATCCACAAATATCCCCCTTGTACGCCACGTTTTAATAGGAAGCACCACCCCACACTCTCCCAGGGAATTGCCCTGAGTCTCAGGGAGGAGGCTCCCTGCAGCGCGTTGGCCACTTCTCCCCGTGCTAAGCACTCTCCTCGCATATAAGCACTCATTGCAGGTGACCCTGCCCCACAGAGCCTGAAACATTGCCAGCCTTTCCCGCTTTCCACACTCCCGCATGCACAGCAGTTTCTACATGATGCAACAGAGTGTTCATGTTTGCCCTTGCAGCTGGCTGTGGGTGAGATGAGGAAGTTTAGCCTTCAATTATGAACCATTTGTATTCAGACATAGTAATGTGTGAGAGGAGCCTTGCTTTGTTGTCTGAGCTTTTATTTCTGCCCTAAATCAACTGTGCACAGGATAGGTTATACCTATTCCTGATGAATACGAAGTCACTGCAGTGAGAGGCTGAACCTGCAATGCTCAAAATAAGAATCTGCCGCATACTCTTCTTACGAATCTTTCTCTTTCTGAAGAAAACCAACCTTCCTTCATTAGCGGAGCACATTTCTAAAGAAGAGGAAATGGAAGTCCTGATAAACATCATTAAGTCTCGAAAAAGATTAGCATAAACAGGATGCCAAGAGGGAGATTTAATATTATTCAGATGGAATTTGAATTCTAATGCACCACTCATGCTCAGCCTCTCCTCCTAATAGAGCAGTAAGTTTTAAAAGCCTAATCATGCTGGGAAGACTTGGTACTCAGTACAAGTGTCCCTGGCCCCACTGCCTGTTTGTCACTTTGCCTGTTGCCTGCCTCAGATAAAGTAAGCAGTGCTCTGGGGCTATCCAGTGAAATTACCCTTGAGTCCTCCCTTTTTTTTTTTTCTTTTTTGAGATGGTGTCTCGCTCTGGCACCCAGGCTGGAGTGCAGTAGCACGATCTCAGCTCACTGCAATTCCACCTCCCGGGTTCAAGTGATTCTCCTGCCTCAGCCTCCCTAGTAGCTGGGGTTTACAGGCATGCACCACCATACCCAACTAATTTTTGTATTTTTAATAGAGATAGGGTTTCACCATGTTGGCCAGGCTGGTCTCGAACTCCTGACCTCAGGTGATCCACCTGCCTAGGCCCCCACTAAGTGCTGGGATTACAGGCGTGAGCTACCGTGTCCAGCTGAGTCCTTGCTTTCTCATAGCTAGGTTTTTAGGTGAAAGACAAAAGAGAGAGGACAGGAAAACTAGACCAAGGGGACACTCATCACTCCCCTTTTATCCTCAAAAGAAGCGAGAGATCACATACAGGAGAGATGCTTATACAATGAACTCTGCATTGCTGACGGCCGCTCTCCCCTTTCTCAAGAGGGTGGCTGGGCTGAGCTTTAACAGTAGATGACAGCAGGACCTGTTACACCATTTGTGGGACCAGTGAAAAGAGAAAATGTGGGATCGCTTGTTCATAAATCATTGAGAATTTCAAAACCAAGACAGCAGAGCGTTAAACTCAGTGTGTGAGACTCTGTGTGACAGTCCAGGCTGCCTGCCTATGGGTGACACACAAAAGTGAAGGAAAAACATTATACCCTCCTGGGATCTTCCTCATAACGAAGCCGAGGGAGCTGGGGCGGTTGCCTGCCACCCACTCTGGTCAGAAGGATGAGCAACAGGGAAGGCATGGTGGCTCACACTTATAATCCCAACATTTTGGGAGGCTGAGGCGGGCAGATCACCTGAGGTCAGGAGTTTGAGACCAGCCTGGCCAACATGGTGAAACACCATCTCTGCTAAAAAATACAAAAAGTAGGCCAGGCGTGGCAGCTCACACCTGTAATCCCAGTACTTTGGGAGGCGGAGGTGGGTGAATCACCTGAGGTCAAGAGTTCTAGACTAGCCTGGCCAACACGGTAAAAGTCTGTCTCTACTAAAAATACAAAAATTAGCCAGGTGTGGTGGTGGGTGCCTGTAATCCCAGCTACTCAGGGGACTGAGGCAGGAGAATTGCTTGAACCTGGGAAGCAGAGGTTGCAGTAAGCTGAGATCACGCCATCGCACTGCAGCCTGGGGGACAAGAGCGAGACTTCATCTCAAAAAAAAAAAAAAGCTGGGCGTGGTGCACACCTATAATCCTAGCTACTCGGGAGGCTGTGGCAGGAGAATCACTTGAACCCAGGAGATGGAGGTTGTGGTGAGCTGAGATCATGCCACTGCACTCCAGCTCTGGTAGATAGAGTGAGACTCTGTCTCAAAAAAAAAAAAAAAAAAAGAAAAAGAAAAAGAATTTCTTTGGTTCTCCATTTTTTATGTGGAAAACTATATCTTGTGAAAAATTCAGATCAAATCCTTGCTTTGGAAACTTTTTTTTTTTTTTTGAGATGGAGTCTGGCTCTGTTGCCAGGCTGGAGTGCAGTGGCGCAATCTCAGCTCACTGCAACCTCTGCCTCCCAGGTTCAGGAGAGTCTCCCACCTCAGCCTCCCGAGTAGCTGGGATTACAGGCACCCACCACCACACCCAGCTAGTGTTTATATTTTTAGTAGAGATGGGGTTTCACCATGTTGGCCAGGCTGGTCTCAAACTCCTGACCTCAGACAGTCCAACCACCTCGGCCTCCCAAAGTGCTGGGATCACAGGCGTGAGCCGCCGTGCTCGGCCAAAACTTTCTGAAGAAGAAATGATTATTGGAAACCACTCGTTGCCATCACTGTGTTTTTCTATGAGGATGGAAAGGGGAAGCTCTTCCTCTGGTCTCAGGATCTCTCTATGCCTTAGAAAGACCATCTTCTACTCACTGTGCCCAGCGGCTTTCCACAGCGACCACTAGAAGCCCCATCCCAAAATGGCTTAAATGACAGGAAATTCATGGTCTCACAAAACACAAATGAAAAGTCAGGAAATAGGCCAGGCATGGTGGCTCACACCTGTAATGCCAGCACTTTGGGAGGCCGAGGTGGGTGAATCACTTGAGGTCAGGAGTTCGAGACCAGCCTAGCCAACGTGGTGAAACCCTGTCTCTACTAAAAAGTACAAAAATTAGCTGGGTGTGATGGCGGGCACCTGTAATCCCAGCTACTTAGCAGGCTGAGGCAGGAGAATCACTTAAATGCACCACCACACTCCAGCCTGGGTATCAGAGCCAGACTCCGTCTCAAAAAAAAAAAAAAAAAAAAGTCAGGAAATAGAATAGTTCCGGGATTAGCTCAATCATCAGTTCATCATTAGCTTTGAAGAGAGGTTCTTTCCATCTTTCCCTTTTGCCATCTTCAGCTACTACAACTGGAATCTGATTTGAGACCACCTTTTCTTTATTAGGTTTACAAAAGAAAATTTTCCTGCTGTACTTCCAACAAAAATCCACAGAAACCAAAATATATACATATGTCTGTATTTCCCGTGTGCCCTAGAAGACAGACAAGGGCAGGGCAGGAAGGTTATTGTCAGAATTTGAGGCAGCACAAATAAATCCCTGACAACCCTCTGGACATCCTAAGATCTCAGTCAGAACAAGCAGTTCAGAGCCCGCAGCTGGAGAGCTCCAGACATGTCCAAAATAATGAAAATAACAGTATTTGCTGAAACGAGAAAGAAACTTGGAAACCGAACAATACAAAGATAGCATCTCTGGATGTGTGTGTGCACGCACAAGAGTGTGTGCTCAGAAACAGCCCGCAAGACATGGTGGACAAAAGAGGAACGTGCCCGACAATTTAAACAAACACTGTCTGCTTTCTTCTTTTTATAGATCCTGATCGATATTTCTCTGCGGTTAAAAAATAGGAATTCTTCTCAAATGGAATAAGACCTGCTCATATGAGGATAAATATTTGTGAGTCACACCGAAGTATTTACCTTCAGGGCATCTCGATTCTGAGAACTCGTGCAGCACAACCAGCCCTGTGGTGTGCACAGTCCTGGGCCTCCTTCCAAAATCAGAAAAGCAGAAGATGTAAACAAGTCGGAGATGGATCTCACCCCAATAATCACTCACCTGACATCTTGAATTTTTTTCTCTTTTGACAGTACATGCTTTCTTTCCATGCCCTTTGATGAAATTTGGAGTCATTGCCAGTTGAAGGAAGATAAATATTGTCTAGATTCTTCGTGGCGAGTCATCTAAGTATGGCAAAATTGGGCATTTTCTAGACATTCCAAACTTTAAGAATAAAAAAGAAAGTAATTCACATTTTAAGTGATGATATTATCAGGCTGAATATCCTGATGTGTGGGATTAGAGCAATAAGCCTTGGAATGCAAAGAAATATTACTAAGAATTCTGTTTTTATGGCCACAAAAAGTAGCAGTGTATAATTTCCTCCGTGATCCATTCAGCTGACATACACAAAAACCTGAGTATGCTCTAATGGCTTGGAATCCTTCCCTTGCTGTTACCACAATTTTAAAAAAATGAGGGCTCCTCTCCATTTGTTGCAGAAATCAGGACAGCCTTTGTTAGATACCAAACTCGGGTGGAGGCCGGCCTGGCACACAGAGTGATCAGTAAGATGGCCTATATTAGACATTCCTACAGGTATAGGGAGGCAGATCAGTGACTGACACTAGTGTCCACTGTCTACCTGACCAGCAACTCAGGAAGGTTCTACCTTGCTTTGCACAAGTGGGCCAACCCTTGAGCCACTGGGGAATGAGAGCTGTGGAAATTGAGGGTTGAAGCGAATCAACTCCCTATAGGCATTTAAAAAATAGCAGACATGTTATTTCCCTATAAGCCAGGGTGCGCAGAAAAGTTCAGTTCCTTTTTGGATGGAGGCTAAGTCCAGCACAGGAAGTTCCTCTAGAGGGCCTAGAGCTTAACCTGCCCAACCATTGCAGGGTCTTCATTCTTGCCGGGCTCTGCTCTGCCTCGGTCATTCTCATTAGGGCCACTCTGTCCTTGATGCCTTAATGTTCCATTTATTTATCAAGTAAGAGAGGAGCCTGGGCTCTAAGATGAAAAAGGCATGATATGACATTATCTTGAGGTTTGAAGAAAAAGCCACGCAGGACTCATTCTCACTAGAGCCATAGCTTATAGCATAAAAACAAACAGGTAGAAAAGTAAGTAACAAGAATTCCAAAGAAGAAAAAGTAAATAAATCCCTTAAATCAAAATATGTACTTAGGATATTATTCTGTTTCATGAACATATTCCCCGTAAAACTCTCCCCTGCAGGGCACTGGATATGGCTGTTTATCTGGGATTCTTTCATCCACCACCCACATAGTTTTCACCAAACCTCCCATTGACCAAACTTTCTCAAAACCCCCATGGCAATGTAAACCCTAGAGGGCAGGGAATTTTATCTGCTCTGTTCACTAATGACACCTAGGAACTCTAAGCATGCCTGATACACAGTGGTTACTTAATCACTACTTGTTGAATAAATGAATAAAATAATAATAACATCTGCAGTGTGATAAGATGTAATAGGTCACAGAGCACATGCACATCTGTTTCCTCACTTACTCTCCACAGTAATCCTGTGCGGTGGGGTTTTATTCTCATCTTCATTTCATAGGAGAAGAAGACAGTGTTCGGCTACTGCCTAAAGTAGCTATACTAACAGTTCAGCATGTACTAATTGGGAGGCAATTCCAGCTCATCCAGTTCCCATCCCATGCTTCCTCCTCCTCCTTACAACCAAGTGTGGCCTGGCTGACACATCCCTATGGCTTCGTTTCAGGTGGGTCTTTTTCGCAAGTCAGGAGTGAAGTCTCGAATCCATGCCCTACGCCAAATGAATGAGAACTTCCCTGAGAACGTCAACTATGAAGACCAGTCTGCTTATGACGTGGCGGATATGGTGAAACAGTTCTTCCGGGACCTCCCTGAGCCTCTTTTCACCAACAAGCTCAGCGAGACCTTCCTCCACATCTATCAGTGTAAGTGGAAATAATGAGATTGGTGTTCTCGTGGGCATCCTTCCACTGTAACGAAAATAATTCCCTATAGATTTGAGTTTTAATTATACGAATAACACATCAATCCATAAAGATGAAAGTAATCCTGTTCTCCTCTACAGAAGTAACTTTTGCTCAAAGTTTGGTATGGAAATCCACAGGCCATTTTTTTATGCATTTGAAAATACCTTTTTGACATCAAAATATTCCTTCTCAAGAGTTTTGTGTACGATCTAAAACAAACTTCCAATATATTTACAAAAATTTAAAATGAAAAGTGACACAATAGAAGTTGTTTTATACATAGGTATTTATTAAAACTTCTTCAATTTTTTAAAAAAGTAAACATTTCTTTGGGATATAGGAAATTCAGAGTGACATGAATTAAAATGACAGCAAATAAAAACAAATGTATTTTAGTACAGTGCATCTTCATTGGTGAAAAGTAAGCAAACTTTTCATTAAGCTTAAATGAACTTATTTGTATTTTCACTTGGATTTTTTTAAATGATGTTAAGTTGTCAGCAAAGCCTGTATAATTAAAATAATCCCTGAAAATAACAATTGTTGATTAAGCAGCATATCCTACTATGAGTGGTTGCAATAGGGTTATTAGAAATAAACACATGGGCTGGGCACGGCGGCTCACACCTGTAATCCCAGCACTTTGGGAGGCCGAGGTGGTTGGATTGTCTGAGGTCAGGAGTTCAAGACCAGCCTGGCCAACATGGTGAAACCACATCTCTACTAAAAGATACAAAAATTAGCTAGGCATGGTGGCCAGTGCCTAAAATCCCAGCTATTTGGGAGGCTGAGGCAGGAGAATTGCTTGAACCCGGGAGGCGGAGGTTGCAGTGAGTGGAGATCGGGCCACTGAACTCCAGCCTGGGTGACAGAGCGAAACTCCGTCTAAGAAAAAAAAAAAGAAGGAAATTAAACATGTGACTCTTTGCTAGATATGACAATGTTAACATTATGAATTATTTTGATGGCCCAGATCCCAATTCATGGGGGAAAAAAAAGCCATTTGGCCCATGGACTTTGAGTTTTGAGTTTTCAGCAAAATATGCCTGAAATGGACCTTGACATGGACTTGATCCAATCTGAAGAATATCCGTGCTATAGAGAATTCTGTATAAAATGTGTTTAAGGAGTCCATGATACTGCAAACTCAGGAAGGATTATAATCAGAACCACTTGTAAAAACAGATTAAGGTGGCAACCCACTAAGTAAACATTAGTTTTTCAAAGTGAGTAGGTTAAGTTAAATTAGTGATACAAGTTGCTAGAGCCCAAACAGGGAGTTCTTGATGTTGTTGCTGTGGGAGGTTGAACTGCATTTTTCAATTAAGCCTCCCTTATGGTTTGGAAGTATCAGATACGAATCTTTACATTTAATCAGTTCTTGGGCTAAAGTTGACACTAGTCTAAGGCTAAAGCCACATTACTTGAAAGAAATAAATGTCTTTGGCCCTTTCTGAGTCACAAGCAAGCAGCCAGATCAAAGCAGGCTTTATTTTAGCTAAGCAAACATTTACAGAGTGTGGCTTCTGTACCGGGCACCGTGCTGAGCATGGCAGAGCATATGGATGGATGAGACTCACTCTCTGATCTTAAGGATCTTACAATAAGGGAGATGAGGCATGAACATAAATAACTCCAACACTACAAAGTTGGAGAAGTTCCATAGAAAGGTTACAGAAAAGTCCAAGGAAAGAGAGATGAAGAATGAGGGCTTCACGGAGGAAGTGACAACTGAAGGCTGAGATATGTGAGGAACACATTTTGGGTACCTGCTCTGCAGATAGCATAAACTGATGTCAGGAGAGCCCAGGGTATTCATCTGGCTTGCATGTATGGCAGACATACAGAGTGACACCAAATGACACTGAAAACGACACTGGGGCCATAAAGGAAGGACATTGAATATTAGGGCAAGGAGTGTATGCTTGATGCATTAAGCATTGGGGAACTGTCGGGTGTTGTTGAGGGATTTATTTTCTAGACATTCCAAACTTTAAGAATAAAAAAAGAAAGTAATTCATATTACTTTACAGTTACAATGTTCTCAGCTGTAAAGACGGAACCAAATATCCAACGAACAGTCGTTTAAACAATAGGTACATTTTATTATCTCACATAATTCCAGAGTTGGGTATCCCGCAGCTCAGTGATGCCAGGGCTAAAGTCAGCCTCTCTTGACTTTCCCTTTAAGGTCACAGTATAATTGTCATAACTTATATTTATCAGGTCTTCACAAAATCACATTCCAAGGCAAGAAGAGAGTGACTGCACTTCTCCTTGGCCATGTATCTCTTTTTATCAAGGACATACATCTTACAGAAGCTCTTAGCATTTTTCTTGGTCCCCTCAGGCAGAAGTGGTTTACTTCTTAAACCAAACACTGAAAAGAAGACCTGGGTTACCAGTTTTGGTTTAGGGCAGGTTTGGGTCTGAGGGAGGGACCCATTTTCCTGAGTATATTGCAGCTCACACCTGAGCAGAACATGTGCTTTCTTAATGAGGAAGAAGGGAAGAATGGGAATTGAGTAAGTGGCCAGCCTTATATCTGCCACAGGGAGAAAGTCCATCAGCACCGTGTCATTGACCCAGGAATCTGGAAGTGGTGCACAAGAGGCACTGAACTGGACGAGCATGGAGGCTCAGGGAGTCAGTATACTAATCAAGGTTCTGAATTGCCTGAAGGGACTTCCAGCAGTGAGACTGAAGAGAAGACATTCCATGCATAGACCCTAGAGTCAAAGTTTCCAAACTGCTACTGTGGCAGAGAGGAACGGTTCCTCCTCAGTCCTCCAGAGAAGTTCTGTTTTCAGCTATGCCACTTCTTGGGCTTTTGTCAAATGATGAAGTACATTGGAGTGTTCGATGAGTAATGAAAATATTTGAGTCCTACCCATCTGGAGGAGGGAGAAGGATGGAGGAGTCAAAGACAACCATAAGGCTTTAAGGCCTCATGATTGAAAGAATGTGGAAATTGGAGAGCAGAAGGGTTCAGAATCCACAGGATTCTGAATTTGAGGTGCCAGGATCTCCCATATGATTTCAAATTATCCACACTTAAAAATTCAAACCTAGAATCATCCCCTTAGAGTCAGGAAAGGGGCAGGACCCTCACTCAGCAGCGTGGTATGTGACAGAAAGCTGAAAGAGCATAGGATCCAAAACAAATGCTGAATTTAGGTATTTCAATCATTTTTAGTAAATAATAATAATAACAACAATAGTGGACAGGAAGTATTTTCGGAGGGATAAAAGAATAAGTGAATAGAAAGGAAACTGAGAAAACAAATAGAGATGACAGGTGACTCTTCAAAAATGATGGCTGGGAAAAAAATGTTGGCATGGAAAAGCAGCTTAGTAAAGTTAAACAATGTATACACACTGGACACCTTACCTGGAGCAGCGTATTTAAAACAATTCAGCGGCTCAAGCACCTCTCACAAGCTTGAGATCATTAGTACCATCTGTTTCTGCTCCACCCCAAGCGAGAGTAAGAAAATGGGTTTGCTATAATTTTAACAAAATGGCTCTTCTCTGTGAACCCCAGGTGTATCTTGTGCCAGTACACAATGGACATGCTGGGAGGAGTGGGGAAGGTTTCAGACCGCTGGAGGCATGCTCAGGCTTTTCCAGGAACTTGGATTTGCTAATCAGGGCCAGAGTGTGGTCAGCCCTGGGATGTGACGTCACGCCTCTGGCATGGGAATGCTGGCGAATCCAGCATCCATGGCCCCCTAGGACCACAAAGCCTGGGGCCAGCCAGGACCCCCACAGAAGGTCACACCTCATCCCTTCTAGAACAGCCAGCTCCGAGTTTGTTTTTATCATGCGCTCCTGCCAGTAGCAAATATCTGAATGTGTATTTATGTTTAGTAATAGAAATATACTGGATATACCATAATGTACTATGCACATTATAAAGCACCCCCGATCAGTATTGTTAATGGGTAAGAGAAAAGATAAACACACGTGGGAGTGCTAATGATTTCTTCTCACACCTCAAGAGGCTGTCAGGAGCACACCTCCCCACCCCTGGAGAGTGCAGACAGCCTAGTGTAGAGGCCCCTGTACCAGAACATGGCATTTTAAGAAAGACAACAGTGTTGACAGAAGCAAGCTCACGACAATGTCTTTCGCAGTGAGAGGACTAAACTGATCACTAAATAAACACAGCCACAGGTGGGAGCAGCAAAAGACAGCACCTATCACTCATTTGGTGTGGTTTTCCACTTAGTTCACCTCATATTGTTGGAACCAGTTCCCTGGTAAGCCTGCATAACCAGCAACCACCACGAGGACCACCCTCAAGGATGATGGGACTGAGAAGGGCCAGACACCCCCCATAACCTTAGGCAACCTGGTTTTTCTTCTCCAAGCACAGCCTCAATTTCCATAAACCCCAAGATTATGGAACAGGCGACGCTGGGTCTCCACATGAAGTCAATAGCAGGCATCCTGCAAAGCAAGCCCTGGGAGATTTGTAGGAAAAAGGAATATGTACAGGCTTCCCTTCGAGAAGCTGGCCCTCTAGGAATGAGGTCAGAGGTCCCAGCAGCTCAACACCACTCCCGGTGAATTGTGCAGCACTGGCATCATGGCCTGGCTGGCAGGGGTGGAGAAAGGCAAGGCAAGGCTACTGTTCCCTAACCCAGCGGTTTTCAAACCATGTCCCACAGAGCCCTGGGCATCCTGAAAGGGGCTTCCCAAACTGTTTGTCAGGGAGGATGGGCAAGAGGGATGCCAGGTTGACAGAGTCCTAATCACCAACTTCACTCAGAAGCCTTCTGAAAGCAGGCGAGTGGGTTGATTGCTCAGAATACAGAAAGCCAGGATGGTGGTGCCCCTTTCTAAACCCTGCTTGGCCATTGAGACTGCGGGATCCAGAGTTCAGTTGCAAGGGTTGGGACTCAGCTCTGCCTCCCATGAGCTGCAAGGCCTCAGCAATTACTGACTTCTTTGTGCCTTTCCTGCTGTTCTGGTTGTTGTTGTTGGTGATGACTCTGGGTGCATGTTCGCACCAGGAAGGTGGAGCTTACACAATGCCTCCCAGCTGGCTCTTTCTGTGTCTGCTCCTCCAATGACCTGGCATCCACTTTTCCTCAGATGTCTCCAAAGAGCAGCGGCTGCAGGCCGTGCAGGCTGCCATTCTGCTACTGGCCGACGAGAACAGGGAGGTCCTGCAGACACTCTTGTGTTTCCTGAATGACGTCGTCAACTTGGTGGAAGAGAATCAGATGACGCCTATGAACCTGGCAGTGTGTCTGGCCCCCTCCCTCTTTCATCTTAATTTATTGAAGAAAGAAAGCTCTCCACGGTGGGTTTTTTTTCTCAGTAAGAACAGTAATCCCAAAGCAGGCATTCCCACAGTTTATAAGACTGGATGGATGGATGGATGGATGGATGGATGGATGGATAAACGGATAGATAGATATGAATGGATATATTGATAGAGAGACAGATTATAGATAGGTAGGTAGATAGATCGACGATAGATTGATAGATAGATGATACATAGATAATAGATGACAGCTAAATAGATAGATGATAAATAGATGATAGATGATAAAGAGAGGATTGATAGGTACATAATAGAGAGAGATAGATAATAGATTACAGATAGATAAAACATGTCTCCATGCTACATTTCAACTTCAGGATTTGTCAACACTCTTTTCATAATCAGAAAATCTTGTGAGGCACCCTAATTCACGGGGCTTAGATTCATAGAATTATTGAGCTAGCATTGAAGAATGCCAGTTGTGATGCAGAAAGCTTGAGTTTTGTGTTGTCTGTGTGAGTGAGGAGAAAAATATACACACAGTAGTATTTTAGAATCTTTAGAAGGCTATATTTAAGACCAAAGCACAGGAGCTTGCAGTTAAGGGGCTTGAAACTTTGGAAAAATAGATTAATTTCATCCCCCGCTGTTCTTCCTGCCCTTTTAGTTTTCCAAGATTTTTCCTTGTGAACTGTCAGACTGTTAGCCTGATTCAGAATATCTAAGATATGTGATCATTGTTTTTATTTGGAAACACAAAAGCCTGGGATCTGGAGAGCATCTGGGTATAAACAGAAAACAAAAGGGATGAGTTTGGTATTGTGACAAGCTATTTGGTGTGGGATCTGCTTAGCACACTCACATTCAATTACAGAGTCATACAGAAGAAATACGCCACCGGGAAGCCAGATCAAAAGGACCTCAACGAGAATCTGGCAGCAGCTCAGGGGCTCGCGCACATGATCATGGAATGCGACAGACTTTTTGAGGTGAGCAAAAGGCTCGAACCTCCGCCTCCCTAGTCGCTCTTGGAACTAGATAAGACACTTGGGATTGTTGCTACATTTATGGTTTCTATCTGTTTGTTCCTGATTTTATAATGGCAATAGTATATGCTCTAGCTCTGGTGTTTGCTTCCAAGAAAGCTGAGGAGCTAGCTATACAATTGAGGCTTTGATCAAGAACTCATACCCATGGTATGAAGACCTGATGGTTTTCATGCAAATAGTTGCATCACCTGCCATTGTCAGGTTCAAGGCCAGTCAGCCAATTATGTTCCATTTGATTTTACCTTGGGACTTGATTAGGTTAAACATCTGTGTGAGTGTGTGTGTAATACTGAGGGATCTTTGTTGCTAAGAACCAATGACAGCTTATGAATACAGCCACAGATATGTAAAAGAAGTAAGTGAACCAGACTTGTGGCATACTTTTGTGATAGAATTGGCATTTGTCAATGGGAAAAGTGTGCTAAAAAAGTAAAGCTATTCCCAAGTCCTGTTTGATGTTTCCCTTCACAAGTCTATCTGTTTTAAGTCTTATTCACGGTGGGTAAAGCTGTCTGAGCCCACATTTTGCCGAACTGAATAAAAAGACATTAAAGGTAAAATAAAAGGGCAATGGAAAGAATAAAGGGGAAGTCATTGCAATGTTTTGAATAATAAATACAGCCTCAGAAACATATTTGTATTTCCTGACTTTAGGAAGGCCCCTCCCGTCCTTGGCAGTGATCTTAGGAAAACATCTCCGGCCGTGTGGCCCTCGGCCCGTGGCTCAGAGCCGGATTGTGGGTGACATGGCTTTGCTTTCTGAGTCTCAGCATTTCTTTGGCTCAGTGTGTTGCCCTTTCGTGCATCCGTTGGTCTAGGTTCCACACGAGTTGGTGGCCCAGTCTCGTAACTCGTATGTGGAAGCTGAGCTCCACGTGCCCACCCTGGAAGAACTGGGGACGCAGCTGGAGGAGAGCGGGGCAACCTCCCACACTTACCTGAATCATCTCATCCAGGGCCTCCAGAAAGAAGCCAAGGAGAAGTTCAAGGGATGGGTCACGTGCTCCAGCACAGACAATACAGATCTTGCTTTCAAAAAGGTAATCGCAGAGGATGGAAAAAGATCACCCCCAGCAAGCCACAGCTAACCATCAGACATGTGTTTTTGCATTGAAAACAGCTGCTGTGTCCACAGGGCTTGGCACACACATGGATAGTTGAGGCACATGAACCATTCAAAGAATCAGTCCAGAGATCTGTTGCGTATAATCAGAGAGTAAACCAGACAGCTGGATCCCAGTCCTGGCTCTACCCCTTAGCTGTGTGATGTTGGGCAAGTCACACACCTCTCTGTGCCTCCATTTTCCCATCTGTAAAATGGGCATTGTAAGAGGCCCACTGTCAGAGGAAGGCTGATTTACAAACCAAATGGCTTAGAATAGTGCCTGGCACACAGTAACCATCGGGTGTGCTGGTGATTATTTTTATGATCATTATTATTCTTTTAAGCTTAAGGACTAAAATGTTAAACCTGAGGTATGTAGCATCACTCTCAATTTATAGAATCAGTGATGGTTTTTGAACACCCAGCAAAGTATGACAGAAAAACTAAAAGCCCAAACAAAAAATGTTGGACCCATTTCCCAGACAGCCTCTTCAGCTTCTGACGTTGTCTTTCCCAAGGTGGGCGACGGGAACCCCCTGAAGCTGTGGAAGGCTTCTGTGGAGGTGGAAGCGCCCCCTTCGGTGGTCCTGAACCGCGTGCTGAGAGAGCGCCACCTGTGGGACGAGGACTTTGTGCAGTGGAAGGTTGTGGAGACTCTAGACAGGCAAACAGAGATCTACCAGTACGTGCTGAACAGCATGGCCCCCCATCCTTCCAGAGACTTCGTGGTTCTCAGGTGAGCCTGACTCTAGGGTTTATGATGTTCTGTTCCAAAGGCAGGACACGAGCTATAGATGTGAGCACTTCCTGGTGGCTCCCACCAAAGTCCAGCCTCCATGGGGAACACGAAGCTGGCTCTTGTTTCCCTCAGTGACATCTGAGTGTTCTGTGTTGATGCCTGACTTCCTGTGTCCTTTCACCCAGCCTACAGCTCTGCCTGGGCTCTCTGATTGCCCCTCTCCTTGTGGAGCACACAGTTTATTAGGCCATAAATATGATTCATTTCCTCAGAGCAGACGGCCCAGAAAAGCTGCTGTTTGTCCAGTTGCACTTTCTGCCAAATTATGCAAATGGATCTGACTGGCTTTTCTTCTGATTTTGTTTTTCTCCCCTGGGAAAGTGTGTGTAACTCTCAAGGCTGGGGTAGGCATGACTTCAGAACTCATCTGTATAACTTCAGATGCTCATAGCTAGTTACCATGCTCAGAAGCCTTGGCGCTGCCCTGGAGGTCCAGAAAAGGCTTGCTGATTCTGTGTCTGCCAAGGAAATACTGCTTCTGATTGAGGTAAAGGTTGAGTTCCAGACCCCTGCTCTCGGAGTTTGGAAGGGGATACTCAACCAATCATAGAAAGTTTGCACAGTAGAGATGCAGCATTGCATCAGCCAGAACAGAAATCGAGGGTACTAAAGAACCTGAATAAAAGGTAATTAGATCAATATATCTTTTTTATTGAAAATCTTGGCAAACTCTGTCTCATGTCACAGATCAGCAATGTAAAAAGAACCTATTGTGAAACTCCCAAATGTATATTTAAAACACTTTATGAAACCAGTTTTGATGGCAAACTAAAGGTTACTTTTCACATGAGCTCTTTATGACTTTGGAATTGGCCCTTGGAACCTTGACTTTTAAAGGTCAGTTTTCCCCAAATACATGTATTTATCTCTGCTTCCTTGGGATCCTGGTGGAGAATGCTGGCAGTTTATAAGGGTGGCATAGTACCAAAGTTATTAGGACATGAGTCATCTGGTGGAATTCAACTTCATGCTTTCACTCCACAAGGGGAAAGCTGAATAGCTGTTTCAGGATGGCTGCCATAGGAATGGGGCCATGCCATAGCGTGCCTCCTCCCTCCCTCCAGAGGAGGCTGAGGGCCTGAGTCTGTGTGTGGAACCTCCCTCCTTCCATCCATCCAGCAACCCCACCAGCCTGCTATTTATCAGTGCTTCGTTCCGTCACGACCACGTGCCAGGCACTGTGATAGGCTCTGGGTATGCCAGGTGAATGCAGAAAGCCACTCTCCTGCTCTCTTGGGGTTTGTACTTCACTGGGGAAAGGCCATAAAAAATAAGAAAGGGAAATGGGCTTACTTATCCTGGGAGGTATGAGATAGGGAGATAGTAAGGGATGGAATTTTAATTGGAATGGTCAGGGCGGGGTCTTGCTGCACTGATTTTTATCCAACACTTGAAGAAGTGGAGTGGACCATGAGGCCCTGAAGGAGAAGAGATGCAGTCCTCCACGGGCTAACAATGAACCAGATCTGGTTCCTAACAACAGGAATTCCTTATGTGTAGGATACAAGAAGGTGGAAAGTGACAAGTGTGGTGAGGAGGCACAGGGCTGAGATGCCTCCTGTCTTCAGAGCATCTTCCAGTCTAGTCTAGCACGTATGAGGCTGGTCACCTTTCAGGATTGCCGCATTGTCTCTCATGTCACACCCGTTGCTAGTTCCTTGGGAGCTTCCGCTGCGAGATGCTGGAGATTCTCGCATTTAGTCTGACAAACCTTTACAATTTTCAGTCGTCACGATTTATCACATCGTCGTTCGTGAAAAGAGTAGTCACAGCATGGAAGTCGCCGAGCGTCTGTGTGGGGCTTGGTTATTCCCAAGTTCTTGTCAAGCACATATCGCCATTTCTCTTCCTGGTGTAGGAGGACAGGGTGAAATCATGGAGGAGATAGCTTAGTAAGGGAATAGAATTTGTGGAGCAAATCATGGGAATTCTAAAAATACGATCGATTATTATAGATCCCTGGGGTAGAAAGGTAAGTTAGAGGTTGTTACACAGATGTTCGCATAGCTCCTGACTCCCATTCACAACCTTTTTTCAAGGGGTAGCCACCTCTGCTTGAATAGCTCCAGGAACAGGGAACTCACTGCCTCCCAGGGCAGCCCATTTCATTTCTGAACAGTGCACATTGTTAGACAGTGCTTCTCTCCTGCACAGAAATGTACCTTTCTATCTCTGCCTTCTGGAGTCAAATCAACCATATTCACTTCTTCTCCCACTCAAGAGCCACTCAAGTATATGAAGACAATAAGCAGGCCCACATATGTTTCCTTTCCTTCAAGCTAAGCATACCAGTTCACTTCTCCTTGAACATCCCCTCCTCCAGGAAGCCTTCTCCATATTCCTCCCGCAGCCCCCTCCATGTGAGCCCAGAGCCCTCCGTGCGTAACGTTATCAGTGCATTTACCTCGGTGCTTTTAGAATTCTGTTTAGAGTGTCAGTTTTTCTTCCTGGACTGTGTACATCTTTATGTGCTTGGTGTCTTCTCAGAGCCTGGCATATCTAGGTGTTTAATTGATGTCTGCTGAATGAATCGAATGGGTGAGTTCTAATTCCTAGACTGTAAAACCACCGCTTCGAGAACGGGCAGGAGCCTCCACAGCCGAGCAGAGCTGGGAGTTCCAAATGCAGATCTGAAAGCTGCAAGACCGTTTCTGGCCTCAAAGTCCCAGACTGAGATCTTTGCTTTGAAATTCTCTGTATAAATTTTACACAAGCTTATGAAAGCCATTAGCTTAATCCAAGTCACTAGCATTGGAATCTGAGCCCAGGTTGTTGGCAGGAAAATATAAACACAAACCTTAGCTCTGTGTTCAGGTTCTTCTTCCTCCCTCCGTCATGACTCTGATGTGTGGATTGTTTTGCTACAGGACCTGGAAGACTGATTTGCCCAAAGGAATGTGTACCCTGGTGTCGCTCTCTGTGGAGCACGAGGAAGCCCAGCTCCTGGGTGGCGTGCGAGCAGTGGTGATGGACTCGCAGTACTTGATAGAACCGTGTGGCTCTGGCAAGTCGAGACTGACTCACATCTGCAGGATAGACCTGAAGTAAGTGCTGACTCCCCCGATGGCAGGCTCAGATCTTGGGAGTCTCAGCTTGTACGGCACATCCAGCAGGGATGTCACCTTGATTTCTTATTTCACGGTATTTGTTTCCTCGTTGCCATTAGCGTGCTTTCCTAGGTGGCTGCGTATGCCTCCCCTCTGTCTTTCCCCCTTTCCTGAAATTCTGCACCTCTTTGCCTTTATTTTCTGTTTTATGCCCACTTATATTTCTGTCTTTCTCCCATGAAACACACACCAGCAGCAGAGCCTGACACATGGTAGGTACTCAGTAAATCAGAGTTCCCTTCTCTTGTGTTTCTTTTTGAGACAAGGTCTCGCTCTGTCACCCAGGCTGGAGTACAGTGGCACCATCAGGGCTCACCGCAACCTCCACCTCCCGGGCTCACGTGATCCTCCCTCTTCAGCCTCCCCAGTAGCTGGGCCTACAGCTGCCCACCACCACACTCAGCTAATTTTTATGTTTTTGTAGAGACAGGGCCTCGCCATGTTGGCCAGGCTGGTCTCGAACTCCCAACCTCAGGTGATTTGTCCACCTCAGCCTCCCAAAGTGCTAGGACTACAGACATGAACCACCGTGCCCGACTGTGTATTTCTTTTATGCCTGCCCGCTTTTGCTGCTCCCTGTGGTAGTTCTTTGAGAAGAAAATAAATCCAACCCCTTCAAGGCATTCATGGTGCTAAACCCAGTTCTTGGTCTGGGTAGACAAAATGGAGTTTTCACAGTGAATTCTGGATTTCATCTGAATCTTTTCATTTTACCCTGAGGTGTTGGTATCATTTGAAAGCATGTGATGAGTATTGAAATGAGAGCATGAATACTTAGCAGCCAGGACGTTTTCAAGGCCCCTGATGGCAGAATGAGGTCCTGAGCCCCTTGACGTAGCAGCCCGAACTGTGTGCAGGTGCACTGGTCATCGGGGCCCAAGGGCAGCCCTGTCCACCATGACTAATTGCTGTGATTTGAAAAAAACACCTTTCCCACTTCCTTTCTGATTTCTTTCCCCACAGAGGTCACTCCCCAGAATGGTACAGCAAAGGCTTTGGACATCTGTGTGCGGCAGAAGTTGCCAGGATTAGAAACTCTTTCCAGCCCCTCATTGCTGAGGGCCCAGAAACTAAAATCTGAGTTTTCCCCAGTGTGACATCAAACTCAGGGAAGAGGAAACTAAAGTAACGCGTATGGCAGAGACTGTGCACGTGAGAAAGCGAGAGAAAGAGGAACTGACGGACGTGGTTAATGCCTAAAAATGGAAACGTTAAGAAGCTGGAATGTTGGAGATGCAAGAATTTCCAAGAACTTTCTTAGCCTTCCTGGAGATGGCTACATCCCTACTAATATAATTTTAAAATGAGAACATTTATCTATATTACTTAAAATTAAATGGATTATTCCTTGTGCGTTGCCTAATTTGCTATTTAAAGGCTTCTAAGAAGCGTATATACTTAACTGTAAATAAATGTATGTATAGCATATGTACATATGTGTGTATATCTCCATCTTTACTGTATATATGTAAAATACCAATTTTATATAGAATGGTGTGTTTTGAAAAGGACAGTGTCTGACTCAGTGAGTCCCTTCCTCACATAGTTCTTTCCAAGTGGCTCTGGGCCCCATCTCTCCACTGTCCTGTAAGCTGTGCAGAACCTGCTGCTAACACCACGGTGTGAACATGCCCTGATACCTAACCAAAGATTAGTTAACCAAAGGAAAATAACGTTAAAGGAGACTTACGTGTCGTTTTGTTTCTGTTATTCAAAAACTGAGAGTGGAGTTCTGGGATAAAGCAGGGAAAGAATAATTACTCCTCCTTAAAGCAAAGCGGAGGGTGAGAAGTCATTACCAAGTTTAAAGCTAGATGAGGAGTTGCCACTGGGCCCAGTAAGGTGGAATTTCCATGAGATACAGACCACCGGAGTCAGTGCGAGTGACTGAAACAGAAGCGATACCTCTCACTCCCATGCCCACCACTACAGACCCCAAGTCAAGATGAATACCACAGCCTTTACTTATTCACAGCCAAAGGGAGCCCCTGTGTTGTCTCAAGTTTTTATAAATACATTTCATAATGTTGTTAAATGTCATTCCATTTGACCAGTGGCCTATTTGGTCACAGTTAATTGGTGTTTCCTTATTGCACTGAATTCAACTTCAGACACCACACAAAGGGAGATGGTGACCATTCCGTTCAAACCCTAGATCATTACAGCTTCAGGGAATTCATATTTTGCTATGTGTAGGATACTCTTAAAATGTAATTCATTAACCTTTTACAATCTGAAAGACAGGGTTTTTAACTAACATAAGACCAAAACTATGTTCTTTGATTAGTTTTAGAAAATATGGTCGGGTTTATTAATTCTTCTGTGTTTCTTCACTAGCCAATCCAAGCTACCTATGCATTTGACCCGACCTTATTTATTATTGTACAGACTAAGCAAATTGACTCCCTTTAGCCAACTGCTAATGGATCGAATGTGCTTTTTATTGTAATTCAACAGCAATGGAGAGAAAGATAACTTATTGTGTGTTTGATTTCAGGGAGAGAGATTTTCTTTAGTCATTCATAATAGAGATTGATACGATTTAGCAATGGTGTTGGAGAAAAAAAGAAAAGCAAATGAGCGTTTTCAGGTTTTTTTGTATTATATGCATTTCTATAATGTTTCTGTTATCAGCAATGTGCAATTATTTTATTGAGAGGAATAAAAAAGCTTTCTATGAGTTTGATATGGTGCAAGGAAAATCATACAGTTTGAATTATGACCTAGAAATGTTTCATTCCCATGTCTATAAGAAGGTAGCAGCAAATCCATAATTTTCCTTTCGGGCAATGCTTTGTGAGCAAAACAAAGTCCCTTCTGCCATAACATCTTTAATTTAACCACATATGCCAGATTACTTTATATGCATCAGCAAGATCACTAGTGAAGTTTAGTCTAGCTAAACACTAGTCCTGCTCCTGAGATGGGATCCTACGTGTTTGCAAAACATGATAGGCACACGAGGGTGAGTGGCTTTGTATCGCCCAGAGGGGTGCTTGTCCAGATTTCACATACACATGAATTACCTGGGGATCTTGTGAAACTGCAGACTCTGCTCCAAGTAATCTGGGCTGGGCCTGAGATTCTGCATTTCTCAGGAGTCTCAGGGATGCCTATGCTGCTGGCGTAAAATCACACTCAGAAACGAGGACCTAGAAGATCCCTAAAACAGAATAAAAACAAATGTGATTGTATTTCTGACTCTCCCTCTCTTCGAATTATCTGACTTTTTTGTTTTTGTGCACATAGTAATCATATCACTGCTACATAACAACACGGTGCATCTTTTTTGAAAAAGGAAAAGGGAAAGGAGAAAAAACGATGCATCAAGCTTGTTTGTCAAATACCACAGTATTTTATTCATTGTTATCTTGCCAATGGAAATAAAGTATGCTATTGCATTTAAATATTATATTTATACCTCATGTATATTTTTACCTCAATTGTTGGTATCAATCATCAATTGTAAATAAATAATTGCCAAGGCAAATAAATTTATATATATTAAATATTTCCTATTTTCTATAAAATAGATGTTGATTTTCATGCTTCATCTTTAAATGGAAAACTTGCTTCATGAGGGAGATTTCTCCCAAGATAGCCTGCCATGACCTTGACTCCTTGGTACCGTCTAGTCAATACTGTCTTCAAATACAAGGAAGTTGTTGTCAACAGACATTCATTATCAGTCTGGGTGCCTTAACCTGGGTCTAAGGGATTAAAGTGATGAGTGGGGATTTTTTTTTCTTAAATTTAATTGTCCTTAAATCTGGAAGTTATAAAAACACATTCATAGTATTTTTATCAAAGGTTTAGTAAACTCTTTAGCTACATTTTATTTTTGTTAAGTGAACAAGAAATCAAGATTTGATGAAATGACTTACAGCTGCACTACTAGACCATGAAAAGTAGCCACAAACGACTCTGAATCTCTTCCTTTCTACCCTTGAAATCTCAGCTTCACTTCTAAGTATCAGCAGAGAGAGCCCTTAAGAAAGCAGAGGCTCTCAAACATTCTCAGGCACAGGCTCCCGAAGCCACAGAAGCCCAGGACACCGTATGCCCCTACAGAAGTTGTCCCAACTCTGCTCTCTCCTTATCTCATGTACTTTCCCCTGACACTTGCAAGTTTTGCTTTCACAGTAGGCAAAAGGGGAATTCAATGGCGCTCTTTCTCTTCTACATGAAAGAAAAGAATGTGATGGCCATTCTAGCAGCCGCAGGCTACAGATGTCCTGAGAATATGGATCATATGAATTCAAAGGTGATTCCTGCCAATTACCCTGATCTCATCACTATATATGTATCAAAACATGCAATGACCATGTACCCCACCAATATGTACAATTATTATTTGTCAATTAAAAAAGAATTTGAAAAGGAAAAAAATTTTTTGCATTATTCCAAACACTCTTCATGAAATTCTTAGACATAAAACTGTTCCACCTGTGTCTTTTGATATTTGGTTACAGAAAAACTGGCCATATGGTTCCTTCTCAGGAAGATAAATGTAAAGGCATAAAACAGACCCCAACCAAATGGAGTGTCACATTCTAACACAAAGGCAAAATCAATGTGTGCTGACTGCACAAGGAGTGAATAAACACCTGACCTTGCAACATTGGAATGCTGCAAAGTCATGAAGTTTCAACAACTGATGAAGTACAATTTTTGACATTCCATAGGCAGACTATATCCTTTGTAGGTTTTCTTAAAGACAGTGTTTACTTTCATTCTAATAATCCCACTCATCAGCCTCCTAGATGTCACCTAGCTTATATCTTTCTGATGCACAGCTGAGGCTCAAAATTCTCAGTAATATTGTATCCCCGCAGAAAACTTGCTTGCATAATACTTTTGTTCACTCAGCACACATTTATTCAACAGTGAATAGGAGTGGAACACACGTAGGCAGAGGTGTTAATATAAAGAAGACACAATGTGGAGCAGAAACTGTGATATACAGTCAATTTTCATTGTTTGTAGTAGTTCCTTTTCTATAAAGTTGTTGTGAACACTGAATTAGTGAATACTGAACCATTGCTCCTAGGAGAAATACACGGTTAGGTTCCTGTGAGCCTCAGGTCACAACATTTTCATCAACCCATCACTATGTAACCTTGTTTTATTGTGTTTCTGTTTAAGACACCTAATTTAATATATATTTCTTACAAGTTAGTCATCTGCACTATTTCTTTGTAATAAAACCTTCGCAGAGAAGGATTTAACATTTCCCCAATGCTGGGTAACATAACTGTAAATTTCTTGGGCTTTCAACCTCTCAACAGTGCTGTTTTTACTACACTTTAAAAATCAGTTGTCATTTTACGAATCCATAAATTTAGCTGTTTTTCCGTCTGTTCCATAGCTTCTTCAAGAACTACAAATGTCACTTCAGCACTTTCCAGAACAGCCTCATGTACATACTGGTGTATGTGCTTCCTTTTCTGGATGTACTATATTGTTGATTTATTAACATTGAATTCACACCAATAGCTCTATAACTCAAGCATGAACGAAGCTCATCGAGCGCACATATTTTCTCCATGAGGCATACCCCTAGTCTTCTTGTACTTAGGAACATTAGGCAGCACTTTACTGCAACATCTGGGGGCCATTTGAAAGTGAAATTACCACCCAAAAGCACAAAAATTTGAAAAAAAAAATGGCAATTAATAGACTATACAAAGGGCATGTTTATAGTATATGAGCCGAAACAAGAAGGGAGTAAGCACACTGACCTCAGTTGGGAATGTGCATCACATCAGTGACTCCGATTTGTTACACTCTGAAAATGTCCAAAAATCACCATGAAATCACTGCAAGTATTGATCCAAGGGTTACAAATAAACGTTAGTGAGTAGATGAATTCACAAATGTAGAATCCACAAATGATGAGAAGGGTCTATACATACAACACCCAGTGACAGGTTTCTGTGAATTCTACAAGAGCCCAGGGGAGTCAAAGGACAGGATGTCTCACCTGAGCTGGAAGAGCTTGAACTTTATCTGTTGAGCAAACTAGAGCCAAGAGGCAGAGAAGTGAACTCGCACTGGTTTTGCTGAAAGAGATTTTAAATGGACTTGGAGTCCATTAAAACAGACTTGGAGTATTAACAGTAAAACAGACTTGGACTTAAGACAGATTTGGAGCATTACTAGGCACAGGAGCAGGTTTGTAAAGTTACACCCATCTTTGCCAGTGTTCTTCACCCCTTCTGTTTCCACATTAGATGTATTAGAGGTGTCTCACCACCTGCCCTTCCTGAGCTGAAACTAATCCATGATAACTTGCCTTTCTTTTCATTTTATAACCCACTCCTTTCCTCTATTTAATGTAGAATATTTAGGAAAACTTGGCATTCATCTGATTAACCTCAGACAAGATACTTTTAAACCCAAAATAACACCTTTGATGCCACACATGACCCAGAGAGAACCAGATCAGTCTAGGTGTTACATGATCCTAAGATGCCAAGAGCTGATAAGACAAGATTACTGGTAAGATCCCCATGGACAAACCCCAAATCAGCAGGAAAGGTTGGGTTGCCAGGCTCATACCTCCCTCTCTTGTTATCATGCCCATTGCTTGTCACAGGAAGTAGGCTTATCCCACTGCTGAGCGAGTGCTAAGCCTGAACCACTCCTCACTGCCAGAGGAAGTCTTTAATCTGCATGAGCTAAGTTTGAGCTGTCAGTTTGCCTCTGCCCAAACTCCAGCATGGCCAAGACATGGAACTAAAATCCTTCCCATAGGCCAGACTAGTCTGTCCTTTCCTGGCAAGCGTGGGCCCCTGAAGGTGCAAAGGAGATGCTTTGGGTTGGTAACCTGAATTGACTAGTGGTTTTGTTGAGGATGGACTGGCATGATAAAGGGCAGAGTGATCCATGAATCTAGTTAAAAGACTGTTGTAACAGTCTAGGTGAAAAATGCTTGTGGGCAAAGAAGTGGATAGTTTTTAAAACGTATTTCAGAGCTATAATAGAACTAATAAGATCTATATACTAGCTTGTTTTGAAAGGGTAGGGAAAAGGAATGATCTCAAAATGACTCTGGATGTTCTAGCTTGGAAAAACTGTGGTAAATTATTTAACTGATATAGGGACAAAGAAGAGGAGAAGCAGATTCAGTTAGGCAGCAGGGCAGAGAGAGAGCTAGGTTAGAAAGGATGGCCAAATGAGCTCTGATCCCACAATGCTTGTGGTGACTATGAACCATCCAGGTGGAGATGCCCAGCAGCATCTGGGCATATAGGTCTGTGATGGTTAATTTTGTGTCAACTTTAGTAGATTATAGGGTGCCCAGATTAAACATGGTTTCTGGGTATATCTGTGAGGGTGTTTCCAGATGAGATTAGCATTTGAGTAAACAGAGTCAGTAAAGTAGAGTTGATCCTTGAACAGCACAGGTTTGAACTGTATGGGTTCACTTATATGTGGATGTTTTTCAACAAGTATATTGTAAAAATTTTTGAAGATTTGTAACAATTTGAAAAAACTCACAGATAAACCATGTAGCCTAGAAATATTTAAAAAGTTAGGTATTGATGAATGCATAAAATATGTGTAGATACTAGTGTATGTTATTTTCTAACATAAAATATATACCAATACATTATTAAAGGTTAAAATTTATCAAAACATGCACACAAACACAGACTTACATGGTGTCATTCCCAGTTGAGAGAAATGTAAATATAAAGATGCAATATTAAATCACAACTGCATAAAATTAACTGTAGTACATACTGTACTACTGTAATAATTTCATAGCCACCTCTTGTTGCTATTTCAGTGAGCTCAAGTGTTGCAAGTAACTGCTTAAAGTTCCATGTGATGCTCATCATCTCCATGTGAGTAGTTTGTCTCTCCAGTAAATTGCATATCGCAATAAAAAGTAATCTCTTGCAGTTCTTAAGTGTTTTTCACTGTGCAATATTGTAAACCTTGATTCACACCAGGGAACCCATAGGAAGTACCACTAGTCATGCTGGAAGTGCTTCTAAGAAGCAGAGAAAAGTCATGACATTACAAGAAAAAGTTGAATTTCTTATTATGGAGCATAAATTAAGGTCTGCAGCTGCAGTTACCCATCATTTGAAGATAAATGAATCCAGCAAAAGGACCACTGTAAAAAGAAAAAAAAAAGAAAAAGGAATTCATGAAGTTGTGGCTGCAGCTATACCAGCAGACATGAAAACCTTAGCACTTTTAGTGAAATATCTTTTAATCATGTACTGAAAATGTAGCTTTTATGTGCGTGCAGGATTGCTACAAGAAAGACATACCTAGAGGCTTTAATATAATTTGAGGAAAAGCAAAGTTATTATATGATAACTTAAAACAAAATGAAGGCAAAGGACTAAACCTGGAGAATTTAATGACAGCAAAGGATGGTTTGATAATTTTAGAAAAAAGTTTGGCTTAGAAAATGTCATGATAACAAGATAAGCAGCTTCTGCTGACCAAGTTGCAGCAGATGAGTTCCCAGATGTCATTAAGAAAATCATT